GGTATTGCTGGACAGGTGGAGGCATACAAACATTTTGAGATGGTGCTTCCTGATATTGCTGTGGAGCATCATACCATCCCATATTAGGACCATTCCATCCAGGATTGTTCTTGTAACCATACTGAGCAGGGACAAATTTCTCCAAAAACAGATGCTCAAGATTTTCCCAACTGGCTTTGGATCCTGGAGGAAGACAATACAAGCAATCCCTTGCTCCTTCTTGTAATGAATGTGGGAATGCCCTTAAGAACATGTGATCAACCGAGACATGTGGAGGCTTCATAGAAGAGCAAATGATGTGGAATTCCTCCAAATGTCTATGTGGGCATTCACCTGCAAAACCATGAAACTTAGGCAGCAAATGTATCAGTCCAGATGTGAGAACGCAATGAACATCATCCTCATTAAGTGAAACTGGCTCCCAAAGAGCACTCTTAAGAATGGGAGGATGTGTCATATTGTTCTCAACATAGAATTCAGCATGAGAACCATAATCAGAGTAATATGCAGAAGGAGAATCATATATTAAGCTCGTAATGACATTTATTACGAGCTTATTCGCACAGCGAACAGATGTGACGCGCTATGCGAATTTACTCGTTCAGTTCCATTTTTTTAAATCTTACTCCATTCCCTACTCATTTTCCCACTCTTCATTTTACCCTAGCCACCATTCTTCCTTCCTCTTCGCACAGCGAACGCACTTTCCTTTTTTGCCAAATTCTCCACTTTCTCTCCATTGCCACATTTCACATTCTTGACTCTGCTTCTGCTTTGCTTCTGCTTTGCTTCAAGTGCATCTTCACTCTCTGCTCTTGGTCACTCTCCACAGGTTTCACTCCTACTCCATTTGCTTCTTTGATTCTTAGTGTTCATGGGACTATAATAGGATTTCTTGTCTATTTGGCTTGATCTGTTTGAACCAAATCGTGCATATAAATTTTCAAGCCAAAACTGTTGTTGATATATGATAAACATACATTTGCACTGTCAATTGATCTCTGTTGGATGTCCTCTGCAATGTCTCTCGCTAGGCGACACATTCGCATAGCGAATTATAGGTTTGGTTTTCTGATATGAAATTCGCTTTGCGAGAAATTCGCACAGCGAATTACATGTTTGCTTTCTGATAAGAAATTCGCACAGCGACTCTTGTCGCATAGCGAATGGTTCCTGAGCGAAGACACCTATTTCTCATTTTCGCACAGCGTCTTGTGTCGCATAGCGAATTGATCTTGACAGCAGGCACTGAAAGTGCAAATTCGCATAGCGCACGCTGGCGCATAGCGAATTTTATCTGCCAGCATTTGTGTTTTGAGTCATTCACTTGCTCTGACCCATCTTCCACAATTGTTTGCCCTGTCTATTATTTCTTGCAGATGGCACCTCCCAAGAGCACACAAGAAAAGAAGAGGAAGACCACCCGAGGGTCTTCTTCTAGATCCCAACCTGCAGAAGCCCAAGAGGAGAACCTTGTCCTGAACTATGATCAGGACCATTTTATTTCAGAGGCCAATTCTGATAGGTTCCATCAGAATATTATGAGCAGGGCGTTATTACCTGAGAGGAGGATTGAATTGAAACCTGGAGAATATGACCATATCCAAGAAGAACTGGAGAAGCGGAAATGGAATTTTGTATTGGCTAATCTCCCTGATGAGATTGATGAAGTATTGGTTAAGGAATTTTATGCAAATGCCTAGAACCTGACCACTCTCAGCCTCACTCCAGAGTTTCCAAAGTGCGAGGCAAGCTAGTACGTTATGACCGCAGATCATTGAACAGAATTCTGAATACACTGATGTTTCAGCCGTGCCCTCTAGGCGTTTTCATGTCCAGCTATCCTGACCATGACCTTATTGCTTCCAATTTATGCCTCCCAGGATATGGCTATCAGCTTGGAACTAGTGGGACACCAGTGCGAATATTAAGGAAACATTTGAATTCACTGGCCACTATCTAGAGTCTCTTCACGTTCACCAACATTTGTCCCAATTCTCATACTTCTGACATCAATCTGGAAAGATCGTATATGGTATATGGTATTATGACCGGGATTGATATGGATGTGGGAGCTTATATCTCTCAAGAGATGGCATTAATTGCTGATAATGAGACATGTAAGCTTGGATTTCCTGCTCTAGTAACAGCCTTGTGCAAGGCAAGTGGAGTCGCTGGAGTTTCTGATATCACTTTGAAACTTCAACCCCCTCTCAACAAGAAATTCTTTGATAGGAATTGCACCAATAGGGGAGAGTTTTCTGCTATGAATGCCCCTCCTCCCGTTCCCCCTCTACGCAGGAATGTTAGAGCTGCCAGACCACCCGTAGCACCTTCTGTTCCTTCACCTGATCTTTTCACTCGCTACATGCAGTAAAGTCTGACGCGACAGGACGACATCCGAGATTGGTGTGCTAGTATGCGACAGGGTCAGATGTCCTTACATGATAGCATGTATAACCTGTCCCTGGGCATCCCTGATTTTCCTCCAGATTCACTGATGACTGGAGCTCAGTTTGCCGAGCAGATTCCATGGCCTAAGGGCAGGCCTGAGTCCAGGTGGGGGAGTGCTTATCCAGGAGCACCAGAGCCAGAGTTAAATGAGCAGGAGGACATGATGGCAGGCGATGGTGATGAGGAGGAAGAGGAACCAGATCCCAGATGGACACATCAGAGTTATCATTCACAGGAGAGCCAGTGGAGATCAAGATCTGATGGGTCGTGGTAGAGCGACTCCTGTTGTTATGTTGATTGTCATTTTGTAATTCAGTTCAGTTGTTCGTATGTGGAACCTTGTTTAGTTGATTTATATTTGTGGTTGTAAAGACAATTGTGTTTTGATTTAATGATTTGGCATTGTATGATTAAGTTATGTGATTCTTGAGGATGATGACATGTATGTTTGTGGTGCCTGTGCTTCACAAAATTTTTATCTGTGTGTATGAATATGACCAGATCTGTGAGTGTTGAGATCATATATATTGATTGAGAGATATTGAGTTGTCTAGATACGGAATTGGCTTTTGCATGATTTTGATTCTACGTACATATACACACTTTTTTGTGAGTGATGCACCATGTCATACTTGTTGAAATCTTTGGGAATACATGTAATTTTTTTTTCTGATGTGCCAAGTCATTCTATCAAAATGTCACATGTCTTTTGTGTTGTGTTGTTCAGTTTCTTTCTGTGATTTCCTGAAGGCATGAAATAGTTCAAGTTTGGGGAGTTGATAAGTGTGAAAAAGAGTTGTTTTTACACTTACAAATGATCTCAATCTTCTAATTATTCATGTTATTACTCAGTGAAATGTTGTAATAGGACGTAGATTGTTTTTGTAAATTATTATACAGGAAAGGATGTATAATTAGGAGTTTGTCAGCCAATTCTCGCATAGCTCAAGCCAAAACTCGCACTCCCAGGAAACGGAAATTCGCATATCGCACCATTACTTGTGCGCTGTGCGAATAACATCAGTTGAGAGGCAGCAGTTACACGAAATTCGCATAGCGCACACACACCTGTGCGTTGAGCGAATTAATGACGTTATGTGGTTTTAAAAGACGTGACAGAAAGGCACAAAGCATCTTCTGACACACGAAAATAGCCAGAAAAATACTGGAGAATTCAGGAGACGATCAGGAGACCTTTCAAGACATCAAGACTTCACTTTCTGCAAGGAATTGCTGTAAAGAGTACGTTTGAGATGTCTAGGATAGGCTAAATTTTCTGTTCATTGAAATTGGTTGTATGACGAAACATTAATGTAAATTTTCTGTGCAATATATGTTTATGTTCATGTTCTTTTCTTGACTTGCTTTTGATTATACGGAAATATTATTCTTTATAAAAGTTCTTTTGTACTGGGAAGTATTTTTAGAACCAGAAACGTAAGAAAAGAAACTAAAAGTAAATACGCTAGGAATAGTTATGTGCTTCTGGTCATTCTTAACATCTGAACTTAATACAAAATTATCTGATGAATTAATTAAGGAATTAATAATTCAATAGATAATTTTAGAACTTGTTTTTAAGGAATTGAAACAAGATACTCTCATGTGAATGCTTGAACAGAGAACATATGTTGTCCATGATCTTACTGTAATGTTAGTCAAAGACCAATTCCAGTGATCTTTTATCGCATTTTTAAATCTTATTTTTTTACGTTGTTAATTTCATGTTTAAATCCAAATTGAAATCACAATTATCATCAGTAATTGATCTTGATAAATAATTTTAATTGATTAACGTAACTCAAATTCCCTTAGGAGAACGATACATTTTTATTTATCCACTGTATTACTTGTAACGATTTGGTATACTTGTCAAAAAGTTATCATATACATGTAAATGTCATAAAATAGTGAAGTTTTCTTTTTCGTTTGAGTTTGCAATTCTTGATCAAAGGTGGTAGTTTCATATACAGTCGATAAGGTGCATGATTAGTTTGCAGTATGAGTATTTGTTTGTCAAATAGAAATGACCTGGTTCGGAAGTATTACAATGTCCTATTTTTTGTTTTGGATGTTGTGACAGTGATTTTCATATGTGTGTGGGTATAACATGTTTAACTGGATTATAGTGTTTTTTATATTTGACAAGAGAATCAAGTGGAAACAAATTATATGCATTCCTAAAGAAGGTTAAATTGTTCTTTGCTCATGCTGCAGACAAATGGGATGCTGAGTTATATGCTAAAGTCAATGATGATGTTTATAAATATTGGTCAGTTTTCCTTTGACTGAATGAGGTGATTATTGTTAACAATGTAATTTACCTAATATTTATCTTAGAAAGTAAATTTAGGTGTAGCACAATCCTATAAAACAAACTTACAAAATGAGTATATTATAATTTGGTCTTATTTATCGCACTAACAGTTTCATTTCATGTGTAATATGTATATGTTCTTTTCATATCTTAATTGAACTCCTCTGTTAAATCCTCCCATGCATTAGACTTGCTTCAACTTAACTATCATTAACTAATCTTATAATTAACTCAATTAGCAAGTCCACAGGTAAATTAACTCTTCAAGCTTCTTTATCTCGATTATTTACACAATCATTAACAGTATTGGAAAGTTGCTTTTCGAAATGGAAACTTCATTATACAATAGTTCTTGGAAGTTCTGAAAATGTGAGAATCAATCGCTGCTACTAGTGGTGCAAATATCCACTTCAGTTTTCATAGGACTAAATATGAATGGCTCGGGTGGAATTTGCAATTGATCCGTGCTTCCTTCTAACATTTCAACCACCCGACTCATAGCAGGCCTGTCAGAAGGGATTGTCTGTATGCACCACAATCCCACAATAATCATTTTCTTACAAATTTCATTTTCCTCTGGGGTCATACCTTCATGCCATGCTAAATTTTTTCCCACCTCAACGTGCTTGTATATCCAATGGGGAAAATATGTCTCACTTGAATGACTTGCTTCAATGCTGATATTTTGCCTTCCTCCAACCATTTCCAAAATCATCATTCCGTAACTATAAACATCAGATTTATACGAAACCCCTCCAAAGCTTCTGTTCCACACCTCTGGAGCTATGTACCCAACTGTCCCTCTAGCACCATACATAGATATGATACTTTGTGTGTTTGAGCAGAGCTTGGCCATCCCAAAATCAGAGATTTTAGGACAGAAATTTTTGTCCAAAAGAATGTTGCTTGGTTTTATGTCAAAATGCAATATCCGAGTGTTGCAGCCTCTGTGCAAGTACTCCAATCCTTTGGCTATTCCTTCGGCAATGTGGTGTAGCCTTTGCCAACTCAAAGGTGGATCAGTTTCCAAATTCTTGTTGGGAATATACTTTTCAAGTGATCCATTTTGCATAAAATCGTATATAATAGCCTTCTTCTTGCCTTCAAGACAAAAACCAAGGAGATTAACGATGTTTACATGGGATGTTCTGCTGATGCTTATAACCTCGTTGATAAATTCTTCCCCGTTTCCCTTGGAAGCATTCAGTAGCTTCACAGCCACGGGAGCTTTGTTGCATAGATTTCCCTTATATACCTGACCATAACCACCTTGTCCCAGTTTGGACTCAAAATAATTGGTCATTTTCTTGATATCTGAATATGAGTACCTTTTTATGGGAAGTGGTCCATTATTTCTGATGAAGGCCTCAATGTCTCGATCAATCTTTCTCGCCTGCCGAATGTCTGACAAAATTGGTGACAATTTTCTTCCAAAAATGTAAATTACGACGCATGTCAGCAGTGCACCAATTCCTCCAGCTATAATAAAACCTGCAAGCAAAAATAGAAAAGTAATTCAGCTCTTCTAGTCCTTGAAATGAAGGTTCCGAAATTTCGATACATTCACAATGGAACACTATCATGTGAGAAACGTTAATTATCGAGAATATCATGGTTTAGTTTAACTTCTAAATTCGGTGACAAAATGATGACAAACCACATAAATCATTTCCTTTTCAATATAAACCAGAACTAGTAACAACAGATTAGTCATCTTTTCACAACGCAGGTTGTCTTGGTTTGGTACTTTGTTTTTTATATTAACATCATTCGGAAAATCCAAGGCTTTGGGAGTTACTTGTTTGATAAGATTATGTTGCTAAGCGTAGGAGAAAGTTAGCATGAGCAAATTTGTGATTCTGGTGTTACTTTTTAATGTTTCTGCTATCGAAAATTCTATCAAAGAGGTTGTAAAAACAGTTTATAAAGTGAGTACACTTTTCTGCGAAACAAGAAAATGACAAGAAATATAATTAAAGACATAAATTATACCTATAATTAATCTTGACAAACCAGAACTGCTTCCCCCTGCTATCAAAACAGAACATGCTCAATTAAATAATACAACTCATACGCAACCATATTAGTAAAACTCAATTGCTTAATATGTGGAAATGGTCGGAACCATGATAGTGCCAAGTATTCTTATTTAGATGATTCCACCATTTGGCAACAAGCATACCGTAACACGAAGTGTCTTTTGTACTTCCATCCTTGCAGAAACACAGCACCTTCTTCTCGGGGTTACTGTAGCCGCAGACTCCACCACTAGCCTCGCACTGAACGCAATACGAAGCAGTGTGCCATTCAAGAACAAACCCTTTATCCATGGCACTCGAAAACTGGCTTATCAAGTCACCGTCACTTGTAATCGCATCCTTCATCACTGTGACCACAATCTTTTCCTCACAGTTCCCGGACCAGTCAAAACCTGTGGTCTCGTTCCCCGACACAAACACAAAAGACTGGTTTGTCCCAGAACGGAGACACTGGATTGAAGGCACACCAGAAGGGTAGTTAGTGCAGTTGTAGTAAAAGCTAAGGTTTAAGTTCAAGGGGGAGTGAGTAAGCGGTAGGTTGCCTAAGGGAACAGCGTGACGTGCCTTTGGACAGGTTTCGTTGAAAGTGTCAGGATCCAGCAGCTTAAGGCTATGGTTCTCATAGTCTATATTTTGTACCGTATAGTATAATCCTATGTGAGAAAAAACTGTGACGCCTCCACTACAGAGAAGGCCAAGTTCATGGTAACCGCAGAGTTGGTCAGTAAGGGAAAGCCAAAAGGGGTAGCTGATGTTAGGACCAGATGTGCAGCGTTGAGTAAGGCAAGTTGGTGAGAATGATGTGTTGTGGATGGCAGAGGTATTGGTGAAGAAGAGAAACAAGGTAGAAAAAAAGCAAACAAATGCAATTTTGATGAACATCAGGACCAATACAGCATAACCTATTCAGTATTGGGAAGAAGAGGGTCTGTTTCAACATATACGTGAAGATTAATCAGACTTCCAATGTCCAGAGCATGAAGGAAATTTCTGGGGAGATAGCAAAGTTGAATTTTCGTTACCCAAACACATCATAACTCAGTTCTGGTCAATAAGAGAAACAGATCATAGTAGCGAAGGAGAATCTGTTTCCCGTTTCTCACCTTCTACTTTTCACATTCATACATTCAATGAAATGAAAATGTTTCGTAACGTGCAACTTAATTTTCATATCATTTCTCTATTTCTTTTAATTCATATAAAAATTAATTTAACATAAAAAAATCACACACAATCTTCATTTCATCGATACCTATACATATAATATTAAATATTAATAAATAATCTAATAATAATGATATGATAATTTTATCAAACAACAAATCGGTTAATATAATGTTAAATAAGTTTTAAATCTAATTCAATTTTATAATATATAAAATGTAATTTTCATCCATTTATATATTTATACATATTTATATATTTATAAATATGTTTTATTTTTAGTTAATATAAATATATCTGAAAAACAAAATTTCAAATAACATTTTTATGAACGTGTTGACGAGAATATCATATTCACTTGTAACAATTTCTTTCTTCTTTAGGAGATATTGTAGTTTTATTTACAGAAATAAAAGATGTTTCAATACAACCCAAAAAGTCTTAGATTTTTTTGAGTGAGAACTATAGGTCGTTTCCAAAAGTTGAAATGTTTGTTAGAGTTTTAAATACGTATATTAGGCTTTGTTGACAAATTACATCAATGGAGAGAAAATAAGTAGATGTTGTTTAGGGTCCTACATGAGTAGGTGAGAAGGAAGAAAATATGAACAATTATAAGTTCTTATGTTTTTCGTTGAGATTATACTTGCATTATTGAGCTCCAAATATGTAGGAATTGTTTTTTATTTGTAATATTATTATTAATTTTTTGTTTTGCTTGTTCACTAAATCTAAACGTGTTTAAAACGAATAAGATAGTCCATTCATTTAAAATGAAAGAAAACTTGATTCAATTGGATAAATTCACTAGTTCTTTTATATTCTATACCCATTCTTTTAATTTTGGAAATATATTCTAAAATATAAAAGTTAAACATTTTTATAGGACACAGCAAGTTGAACCCTTTATTGGGTGAGCAAGAAAAAAATAAATGGCTCACAAAACATAATAAACAAAGACTGGGTCCAAAATTAGATCCAAAATAAAAAACGATTTCCATATCTTTCTTTGTATTCCCCCTTTCCTCGTTTATTTTTGGGTTAAATATGTTTTTACTCCCTAAACTATTGGTCGTTTCTGGTTTTCGTCCCTGTTTCAAAGTAAGGTACAATTTGGTCCTCATTCTTTTCGAAACGTTCGTTTTAGTCCTCGAAAACTAAACACTGTTTAAAAATTTGGTCCTCATTTAGCAACAAATGAGGACTAAAACCAAAATTCTGAGGACTAAAACGAACGTTTCGAAAAGAATGAGGATCAAATTGTACCTTACTTTGAAAGAGGGACGAAAACCAGAAACGGCCAATAGTTTAGGGACTAAAAACATATTTAACCCTTTATTTTTCTGTACAATGACATTTATAGATTAAGAAAAGTCCAATTTTTTTTTAAATACTCACAAAATTTATTTAACTGGAGAAGTAAATTATACAAAAATGGTAAAATATTGAAGTTTCCCGAGTGAGATAGTACAATCTTTACTTCAACTAGAGTGTGAAACTAAGCTTACTTAATGTAGTTAATGTTATATGGATGGACTCTTTATTAGTTGAACTAAAAATAATTTAGTTAAACTCAATTCACTTTTTTTTAATCAAACATTTTGTAACTTGTCGTGATCCACCATATATTAATTATTTAAATGAATGGATTCCTTTAAATATGTTTTATTTAATAAATTCATTTTAAATATTTATTTTATTACAAAGTAGATTTGACTAAACTCGTTTATATAGTAATACAATTAAACTATTCACCTATTAGTATTATTATAAAAATGATAATTGAAAATTAAAGTATCAAATTATATAATTTGAATTATAATCTTTAGTAATGACTAATTGTAATACAAATATGATGAAAATGATAAAGGATTGTTGTTACTGGATTACGGGACAACAATCTTCAACACAGTTCAAACTCATTTAAACTATGACTAAGTGAGTCGGTTTCAATTTGACATTCATTTAAAAAAAATGAATTTTTTTCAACCTAATTTATCTCAAACTCAAAGTGATCTAGATTGTCTCTCGAACTTAAACTAATTTTGGTATCTCAAATTTTGATTCACATTACAAGGGTCAAAAGACCCACATTTGAAAATAGTTCAAAAAGGTAAAAATGCCCACAAAAACCATATGGATAAGGATAAACCCATGAACTATTTAAAAAAATCTTATTTAAAAGTGAAAATGAAAAAAAAAACAAATATTTACTTAAAAAATTGTGTACATATAAAAAATATTTACTTAATTAGACATGAGTCAAGTTATGCCAAATTAGGACCATGTTCTAATTGAGAGGAGCCTTTATTTACATGGTCTAAGGTTTGACTATGTTCAAGTCAGGCCAAGGTGGATTACGTTTTGGTCAAGCCAAAAAAAATTGAGTCAAACTCAAGTAGAGTTTGGCTACACCAAAGTCGTGTTAAGTCAGATTGAGTCCAATTGCAACAAAGTCAGATCAAGCTAAGACAAACTCGACTTGTGTCAAGATAAGTATTGAGTTGGGCTAAGTCTAGGTTTGGCCAAGTTAAGCACATGTAAATATTGTTAGGTGGAACATAACTTAAATTAGGTTGAGCTAAGAGCATGTTAAGGTTGTCAAGTTGGACTCAAGCTCGATCAAATTTCAAGTCAAGTCGAGTTGATTTAGATACGAATTAGGCCAAGTTGTGTCTGGTCCAAGTCATGTCAAGTTGGTTCGAGCCCTTATCATGCAAATTCAGTTAGACCCACATTAGGACAAGTAGAATCAGGTCATGTCAAGTCAGGATGAGATAGGTTTAACTTTAAGTCTGACCTATGTTTGAAAATCTTGGGTTGGGTCCATGTTAGGTTGGGTTAAGCTTAGTCTAAATTGGGTTAGATTGACCTAGTCAAGATAAGGGTTAGACCAAAATTAGGAAATGTCTAGTTAAATTAGGTTCAAGTCATGTAAGGTCAAGATGGATCAAATCGAGCCTAAGTTAGAACTGGTCCAAGTTAGAAAAGGTATACTTGAGTTAAGTTCAAATCATGTAAAATTAAATTGGATTAAGTCAAGTTTAAATCAAAAGAAGCCTAGATAAGTTCAGTTGGACCTCAACCTTGTAATTAAAAAATAAATAATAAAAATTAGTTAAAGATCAATTTATAATTAATATAAATATATAGAAAAAAAATTATAATTTAGAATATTATAAGGACCTGTATAATTTTATAAAATATTTAAGAGTTAATTGAAGTTTAAAAAGTAACTAAACTTATTTTGATTCTAACTTTAATTTGTTTTATGTGTGAATTTTGAGAGTTGTAACTTTTTCAACCACTCATTTAACGAACTAATAAAAGAAAAATATTTTAGAAGTTTCTTTTGCTCAACTATAGATTAAATTTACATACTTGCAAGAAAATGTATTTAAATTTGTGTTATAGTGTATTAGCAAAAGAAGAAAATAAATCATTCTAGATTTTATATTTTTGACTTTTCTTACAAGTGGCAAAACATAATGGATAAAACTGATTTTGGAGAGAAATATATCAGAAAAAAAGAAAGTGAGACAAAGGAAGGTGACAAAAAGGAAATCACAGACATGCTTATTACCTAATACTCTGAGCTTGCAAAGTAAAAGACTATTTGTTTATTATATTTAAAGTATATATAAACTAAAATTAATCAGTGACTAACTAACATGTAACACAATAATAGTTGGTTTTAGGTCAAAATGAAAGTGATCTGCTGATGGGTGAAGTCGCATCAGCTATTTATTCATCCAAATCAGCTACCAAATGTTTAGAAAGACTTAATTTGGAACCAAAGGATCGGATAATTTCTAACCATTCATAAAACGTACATTTTTTTTTTCTGATTGCTGAAAAGATGGTAAAACATAGCAACACAGGCACATCGAACGCAGGTTGCATTTTTTGCAGTGTGAGGCCTCATCTTTGATCTTATCCTTGAAATGGACCTGACAATTCACTGCAGCTAACAAAAAACAGAGAAAAAGAAAGTGAAGCCAATATAAGCCAAGAGAGGCTGAACACTTGTCTCTAAGTCACTAAACCTAATTTGATTCTTCAACTGTTAACTCTTATTTACAGCTGAAAGTCAAGCACTAAAACTTTCCTAGTTCCACCTTGTGGCACCATCACTGTCAGATTGTGAATCTGAGAAGCTGTAAGGTAAAGCTGGAAGAGCGTTATTCACAAATGATGTTGTGCCAAATGTTGCATTCACACCCCACTCGCTGCCACCAATCTGTGCATTATGTGTTGATGCATAGTACTCGTTCTGATCATATGCTTGAAGATTGTTTGGAATTTGCTCCATGGTCTCACCTACATAAATTAATGTCACTGAATTTCAGGGACTGTAGAAAAATTCACATATTATACAACACATCGATTAAACAGAACATATTTTATACCTTGTGTTAACAGAGCCTCATCAATTTCCTCCAAGTCATTCCATCTAGTATATGCTTCTCTCACCAGTTTTTCCATATAGCCCTGCATATGTGCAACCGATTGAAATGAATAATAGGATCAAATGAAAAAAGACCTAGAAAAGTTAGGGAAGAAGGTATTAAGTTTTTTGTTTGAAGTTACTCTTACCTTTGTGAAGTTGCTTAACTCGCTTCCCGGAAAACTTTGGCCATTAATGTCAGCTTTAACCAATTGGCAAATGGAATTGAGAAAGATGGTAAAATTTTGCCCACGGAAGACATAGTATTTCTTCCCCTTCTCACATGTCTTTGCATGCTTGATTGTCACATCCCACATTCTCTCTGACATCCCAGCGCCCAAAATCTGCTTCCAATAAATGCAAATTATTATTTACCACATCACAGACAAAATCACAAACACTTAAAATACGACAAAAGAACTTGTCGGTTTTTATAACCCTTTCTTCTTCTTTAATTTTTTTATCCTGTTTTTCCGTTTTCGTGCTTTTTAATTACTCAAGGAATTGAGGAATGAAAATATGTACCCTTCTGAGCTTCTGGGCATCAACAACAGACAACTTGAGAAAGTCTTGAACACTGTTTATTCCCTCCTTGGACAGCTTTTTGTGGAAAGCTCCGTCTTTTCCGATCTTCTCTAGGCGCCACACTTCGTCATTCAGCATAGGTGGGTGATGTTTCTTGTACACTTCAAATCAATCAAAAAAATACAAATTCAGTATGGGACAACAACAGAATTATCATCACACGAATAATAAACCTAAGTTCTGTACCAAATTTCATATGTCACAATCGAAAATAAATAAATAAATCAATTCATCACAATTCTTTTAAAGGTCCACTTGATACGTGTTTTTTGACTGTGGTATTGAAACCAGTGACCTGAGACTGTCAGATTGGAAAAACCGGAGTAGAAGTTGGTATGAATGATGTGTCGATGTATTATTTGTTTGTTACAATGGTGGGACCATGGTTGATGTCTAAGCAAAACCCTCACTATTACTTGTATGTTTGACCATCAATCACTTTCTAGACATCACAAATAAAGAAAGATGAAAACAAAAAAAAAGTAAAAAAATAAAATTAAAAGGATCAGTATTGCAGTATTGCTTGCTGTAAAGGGTGAAAATGAAATGTCCTGTATTGTAGGAGCTGTGGCCAATGTACTTTTCTATTGCTGAAAAGTACGATGTGGATACTAATTAATAAATTCCAAGTCACAATCTCTAAACAATTTTAATAAATGATCATCGCTTTACCTTCACTCCAAGGTTTTAAATTCTAATGCAGTTTTTGACTATTTCAATCTTACGCACGTTTGAACAATTCTTTTCACAGAAAATCCATAACCTCTAAAAACTTATGCTTAAACAAGTGAGAAATTTTTACTGTTTTTGTTTAATTATATAAGGTGAAAACTATCATCATAGTTACTATCTTTTTTATTTATCCTCACCAACCATTTCTTTTTGTCTTACTCTTCTTCCAGATTCTCATAACAGGTTGTTTGGATGATGAGATTGAAACAGCAATTGGACCAATTGATAATATTATATTAAGTGTATATATTCTGCAATGATTTACTGACGCAACTATATTACACTAAATAGGTTGACTGAAGATACTTTTTCTTAGCAGACAACCTTTGAAATAACTAGTTGTACCATATCCACAGAAGAAATTATATATTATAAGACTGAGTTTGTGCAGAATGTTAAAAGACATGCGAGATGAAAAAAAGGAGGAAAAAAAATTCATGGTAAGATTGATACAAGAGAAAATGAAACAAAATAATACTATAATTATATATTATAAGTTATCAAGCGTTTGATCAAGAAAATATATATAGCAGTTAACAAACATATTCTAAAACTATTAAAACTGTCATGCTTGCAGATAAGTAAAAAAAACAAGATAAAACAAATGGCATGCGTGAATAAATACAAACTATTTAGTATTGAAAAAATTAAAAGTAAGGAAAAGAGAAAATACTGACATTCACCACGGTGATCCCTGACAATAAATGGTTCGGTCATGCCTTCACGAATTCTAACAGTTTGATTAGTCCCAGGAACAACTCGAACAGCAACTCTGAACTTTCTGCTTCTTATCCAACTGGAATTATCAGTGAATTCAATGTCTTCAATTGGTGCAATTCCATCTCTCATGGTCAGATTCAATTCTCCAGTGAGCAGCGGCCTCTTTCCCGTTCTCTCCTTCACTATGCGGTTGTTGAGTTCCTCACTCGTCCACGACTCGTTGTTATCACCGGTGGAAGGAAAATCTCCATCGAGCACCACGATTTCTAGCTTGATGGGGTGGGGGAGACTCGTGCGAACCGTCTGATCACCGCTTTTATCGACAAGAACAACAAGGAGGGGGTTCCCATCTGTATCTACTATTCTGCTTCCTGTGAATATAGTTGGCATCAGCTTCTTCTCGAACATGAGTTCGTAGCTCGTTGGTTGCTCCAATGCTTGGATCCTCAACGAAGGGGACCTGGTTATCGAACGCGGCACACAATGCCCCATCACTCGCTCCATCTCTTCGTTCACCTGGCAAAAATTAATGGAAGCCTGTTATATATCACATGAAACTAACGAAGAAAAACTTTCTAATCAGAGAATTCCATGGTTGCAATATGGTATATGTTTGACTTTTTATGCCATAGGGTATATATATTGATGATCACTTACCACTCTCCTAAGCAAGGGTTCCAAGCCTGAGAAAAGGTTCTGCAAGTTCTTGACCATGACGACTTCTCCTATTACCCTGTGAAGAAGATTGGTTTAGTCGAAGGTAGCAATGATATAGTAAGAAGTTTTGCAACACAGAAAGTTGGTTAGACGGAACATACGAAGAAAAAGAACGTCTTGAAGTAGGTCTCCTCCGTTTATCACCATTGGCATCTTGATCAGAATCATCCAAAAACCGTTTGGCGGCCATTGTTTTTTGTTTTTTTCTTGTGTTTGAAGAGATCTTGGGGGGCCAATGAGAGGTTGGTGTAACTGAGGTTGTTCCAGAATCGAAGGTTGGTTACAATGAGGAGAAGGAGATTTGCATTTTATACGAGAAAAATGAAAGTGTGTGAAGTGAGGAATTGGGGAAGTTGAATTTATATTAGTACACAGAAAAGGAAAAAAGAGCGAAAGAAGGTTCTTGGAATGTCGGAGGAAGCATCGAAGTAATTAGGATGTTATAACCGAGAAAGCGTATCATATGATGTAAAGACTTAGACGTCAACAGCTCCAAAGTCAACCGTCCAAATCCTTATTGTATATGCTTCTCTCTTCCGCGGCAAGAAATACATACCAAACCCGAACCCGACGTAGGACCCAGAAACAATCAATTCAACGTCCATTTCCTTCAACAATTCTTGCTTTTCCTTTCAAACATTTTTTTCACAAAAAGCTTTCAACCAATTATATCAATAAATATCTGTGATAGTTTCAACAGACAGACAAATAAAATTTGGCCATTCCTGTAATTCTTCTATCAACACGCACAACTGTCTTTTGTAATTTCAGAAAAAAAAAAATCAGTGTTCTTTAATGAAAATTTAAGTAGGGTTTTAATTTTACCATGCTCGGAGTCTGAAGTATGAGTATACTATATATTTAAACACATGTATATATCTATATCTATATTATTTATATTAACTATATTATTATATAAAAGGATTCTTTTTTTCAGAGTTCAATTTTTTTTATTCTTTTTTCAAGTGACTTTTTTAAATTAAAAAACATAAAAATTATCTATGATCAAATTATAAAAAAATTATATTTATTTTTATAATTATAATTTTATTAATTTTTGTTATAATGATGTTTCAAAAATTACACTTAAATGATTTCTTGATAAATCAAAATATAAAAATTTTACACTGATGATACACACATTATTATTTGTATTAATAACTGATTTAGAGTAATTAGTGACAATGGAAAGAATTTTACATTCACTATTAGTTTCATCATGAAATAGTATTATGTTTCTTATGTTTGTCTTATATATCTAGGTGATTTTAACAATCGTGATTTGACTTAATTCTATTTTTATTCCATCATATATTACAATCATACGACTTTACATATTAAATAGATCTCAATTGTGAAACACTCAGTTAGGTTCCCATTATTTCAAATGATTTATGTGAACAGTAAATACAGAATCTTATTCATTTTAATTATAGATATATATTAGATGAAAAATCTTATACTTACAATATCTGAAAACTCAGTTACACATATGAAACCTAGAAGATTAATACGGACAGTGAAAATACAATATTAATGATTTGTACCTGAATAGGCTCGTAAACAATATTAAATCGAATGATTTGTACCTGAATAGGCTCGTAAACAATATTAAATCGAAAGCTTTTGAGACCGGAAGAGTGGAAATGGTGTTTGAGTGATGATAGGAGAAAGGAATGGTTAATATTTCTTAGAGAGAAGATGAAGAAATCTAGAGAGAAGGAGAAAATTTCAGAAGATTGAAGATGGATGGTGTATGCAGAGAAGTGACACGAAAATTTGAAAGTTTCAGTTTTACTCCTACCGTCAAAACTGTTCATCCAATCTGTATCACACACCTGTCTTTCACTTTCTGATCTTCAGACACTCCGATCGTTTATACTTGATATCCACTTGAATGGAATTTTTAGTGAGTTTTAAATGGGTTCTTACAAAACCTAGAAAATTAATACGAAAAGTGAAAATACAATATTAAATTTTATGATTTGAACCTGAATAGGTTCGTAAACTATTTTATAACGATAGTGTATAGAAACGGAAATCTAAGGTATATTATATATGATTGTGTAATGAGTAATGTAGTAAATTTGATGTAACATATAGGATTCTACTCGTAAGATTTTGTCGTGGTGTAACAGTTTAGTCAAATTACGCGCTTCTCGGAAGGATCGAAGCCTTCGTGAGGGCTCTCCGTCGTGTTCACCCAAACGGCCAAGCTGACTTGTAGTAACTTGCGTATAGCACCAAATGATGTTTTTCTTTTCAATATCTTAAACATTGTTTTCAAAGTCCATGTGTTAGAATAGAACTACAAATTAAAGGTGACTCGCTTTGTTTGTCAGCCACCAAATCATTAATACCGCTATTTAATTGAACAAATTATGTAATAAGTGAAAAAACTTAAACACTTTAAAACAGTTTATTCCAGTTATTATATATGTTTCGATTTCAAATCAATCTAATATGTTAGAGTCAATTATGTATTGTCTATTTTAAAATCTTATCCATTACAATTTTATTATTGAAAAACATCTTAAAATATAAAAGAATTATATAAACTCTTTCCTAAAGAACATGAAATTATTAAACTACGGTAAAAACATTTTATATTTTGTGTTTTTTTATAATATCTTGAATTTGGATTCTTTATTAATTTTTTTTCTATACTGTTCGTCTTATGTGTCTTTAAAATACATTGATAAATATCATTTTTGATGTTTTAAAATATATTAAAAATATTATTAATACTAAGCACTCTGTTTTTGTTTTTTATCAAACAGTGTCTTGAGAAATTTCACGTGTAAACTTTGGTAGATGCTAACAAACATATCACTAACACAAGTATTTATGTATGAATTGTTTGTACTCGGTTAAGAAGTAGGGCCCACCTGGTCGAATTATAACATATATAGAACAGGAAAAGGAAAAGAGCACGAGCAGTGTCGCAAATGGAACAAAAAGGGAAAAAGGAAGTGGCATTGTCGTTAGTCCAATTATGATGTTGCACTTCCACATCAACAATTTCACCAATGCGAAGTTTATAAGCTCCTTCCTAATTCCATCACTTTTTCTTCACCTTCTCATCCCCAAACAAATGTCAGCTTCTCATGTTAGTTTTCGCTAAACATTAACATCCACACTTTTAATTCAATTCCTAAAACAGACTATCACCCTTACACGCATAATACTACTCGGAATACGTTTTGACCATTCAAAAACAATTTTTATATTGATTTATTCTTGCTCAACTTAATTTACGACTAAATTCACATAAGTATATTAAGTTAAAAATAAGATTAATTTATAATATATGATTAAATATTAATTTTATTTTATAACGAGTTTAAATTAGATTTAAAATTTACTTTTTAATATTTTAAAAATTTATTTAATTGGAGATGAATGAGTTTTTACACGAGTATTTAACCATTCTGTCATTTCTTATATAATTTTTTTTTAGTTAAGAAAAAATTATTAACTGATACTACAAAATAATTTTACATTGTCGTATGAGAAATTTCCTATTATTTAATAATAATGATAAAATAATATTTGAAAATATAATGTCAATTATTTTGAATTCTATTTACTTTAGTTCTTTGTATCCGTACTTCTTAAAACTAGGGTGAAAAATCAACATTTTCCTTGTTTTACACAAAGGAAACTGACGTGAAAGTATGGCGAGGTTTCTCCGTAATGCTACGTTACAACGCAGTACTTTGCAAATACTTTTCTATGTTCTTGTTTGGTCCACAAGACACGAACAATTATTTAAGTCACTGTCATTGATCCAACTTTTTCTCATAAATCATACAACATTTTTGCACATCTTTTCCAAGAGAATATCATACGGTGACGACTGTTCATTACTTTTCATCCAAACTTAGATAACAAATAATTCATTCATATATATAAAAATCAGCATATTTATATAAAATGTAAACAACCAAAAAACAGGATGAAATTAAACTTATTTTAGAACAGATATTTCACTTGGAAAGTTATAAACTAATGCCCAAAAAACTACAATATTTATGTGTATAAACTGAATTTAAACTCTGATCTGTATATATTTATGTTTATAAATACACCCATTTTCATGAGAAACATGCTATGAAACGAACTGTTTATAGTATACAATGGATTCTTTTGTTTAAATACTTCAATAACAGTACTGAAATTAATCTCTGAGGAGCAAAAACGATTGAACAAGAGCATGAGAAAAGAGAAATCAGTTGAAGTGCATTATCTTTGGAGCAAACCTGAGCAATCTATCTAAAGCCTGTGGCATGAACTTTCTTGCAAAGAGGTAGCAAATATTGGTGGTGTTTCCATTGTAATGACAGGTTTTTCCATGCCTTAGTCTCTTGAGAAATTCAATGGTGACATTCCTTCTCATAAACCTTGCTGGATGGGGTCCTCCCTGAGACCAATCAACCCATGTCAAAGTTCTGTCAGAGTTCCTCTGCGAAAACTTGATGCTGACAAGAGTTGGCAAGTAGTGTTCATCACCATAACATCCATTCCTGCAATGTTTGTTGAACAGGGGGAAGTATAGTTGGTCAGACACAATTTCAGTTGCGAGAGCACGGTCTATTTGGAACCATTGGGACCCTTTTCTCCACTGAGAAAGCCTAAGCAGTGGCTTCATTCTGGGACTGTACCTGCCTCTCCCCACTGGACCTGGGAGATCATAGGATTCTACGAAGGTCTTGGTCGAGTTGATGAGGTAGTTATAGACGGTTGAGAAGTTGAACAGAGGAATGCATGATTCTGAGAGAAGAACAAAACGTTGGTTGGAGAAGTCGAGCAGAGCATTGGCTAGCAGACGCCTCTCTGCCCCTACAATGTTGAAATCACCCCATCTTACCTCCTGCATCATTAATTCATGCTACTTCAAATTTTACGAAAACATTTTATAAAAATAAAATATAGTTTAAGAAAAAAAAAAAGAAAATTGAAGATCTTGTGAAATAAATGTAAAAAATTTAATGTGTTGTTCAATCCTAAACTCTATGTGTCTAACTAAATTGCTTGGACTCTGCTAAAAATTAGTCAACCTTAAAAATTAAATTGTAAATTGTCAACTTGTTTAAAACTAAGTTAAGAAATAATCACTAAAAGACTCTGCTTTAACTGTGTAAATGGGTCGATGAGCTTGAGCTTGTGTCCAATAATATAATGTTTTTTCTTCCTGCACCTCATTATTACTAATTGTACCCTCACAAGAATATGAAAAGACTAAAATATTCTTTTGTATGAGCTGCAAAAGGAGTCGAATCAAAGAAAAGTATTCACTTTTAGTTGAACTTCGGAAGCAACCAACAAGAACAAAACTTCAAACTCCTATTTATCTCATTTTGTCATTAAATACATATTCTTATATTC